CCCCGTACTCAGACAATCGCTGGGGGCAGGCGGGCACCGGAAAAATAGATCGCTGATTTCTCGCATTCCGCTCGCGGATTTCTTGGAAAGCAATCAGGACTTTTCGGAAGACCGCTCACTGAGTCAGCGGATTTTTGAGAGATATCTTTTGCAGATATATTGCTGAATCTCTGAGGAATAGAGAACTCAGCAAGCGGTCTTCCGAAAAGTCCTGATTGCTTTCCGAAAAATCCCCGAGCGGGGTGCGAGAAATCAGCCATCTATTTTTCCAGTGGCCGCCTGCCCCCGGCGATTGTCTAGGTGAACTCTGCAAAAAATCGATAAAAATCGATAAAATCGATATCGATCGATGACGAAAAGTAGCCTATGACATCCGCCGGAATCCGGATCGGTTCGGAAATGGATTTTTTATTCGGAACATACGTACACACAGACAGACATACATACATACAGACAGACATACAGGCATACAAACAGACATACAGGCATGCAAACAGGCGTTCAGCTTTTTATATAAGATTGAGTACAATCTGTCTTGAAGAGTCCTGTTTGCCTGCGGCTACAAATGCGCTGCGTGAGGCCATTGTCGCCTTGCGCCACGCAAGGCAAATGTGAAGGTCGAAACGGGGTTCATTACGTATGAGACCGACGGTGATGACTGGATCATATATTCACCACGTTCGACTGAGTCTCATAGAGACGCCTAAGATAACGCAAAATGTGTTATGGGGCTACAGGGGTAAATTTTTTACCGTGCAGATGTTGTAGTCACAGCAAAGACATTTTGGATTTCAAACTGTATTATCTCCAGGGGAACATTTCTAAGACCTGGCCTGCTTACTGCCACCGTAACGTTATGTAGTCACTCGAAGAGGTTCCAGTAAAAGTTTGAAGTTAATGTAGCGTCAGTGCGGTGACGACAATATTTGCACGGAAAAACGATGCCATGCTTGTAATCTTACAACATTTGCAAAAAAACTGACCAAGGAAAATAAGTTTAAGTTAAGCGTCTATAATTGTTGTTCGTGCGTGAATGTTGTCGTCACCGCAAAAGCACTATACTCACTGTCATTTTCATTAGATCTACTCACTCTAGTTGGGCACCATCTGCTTGGAGGAAAGGTATTTTCTCATTTTGCATTGCCATTGTTCTACTTCACTCAATAATCTTTATGCACTTCAGCTTTCCAAAGTGGAAAAACCATTCCTAGTCGTTAAATCGACCTCTGGTGAAGATCCACACTCTAGCGAACGAACGATGACTATCGATGTGTCAAAGCGTAGAAGAGTGTTTCGAAACCGATCAAAACCTATCGTCAAGCAATTATCTTCCCCGTAATCAAATTTTTGTAAATAAATAAAAGGTACAAACGAGGATATCACAGAGTATTTATGGAATAGAATTAATCAAGAAGTACAAGACTGGTATTTTGTGTCACCAATGATGCTGAGATCTCATCTGCTTCATTCGGAAGTAAGCGAAGATTAAGTCGATCATTAAGGGCAGCGTCCGGGCAAAATTTCGCCTCTCATGTTTTCGTCGTTCCAAGGCCTTTCCGTGGCTCTAGTTACAGTTATAAAGTTCAAATTGTCAAAACCCTCGATAAACCCGATTCCTGGAGACCTTGTTTTGAGTTTTGAATTGTTTATCCCCTCGGCTCGCCACTGAGGAGGAGTTACAACTGCATGAATACAGTTGCAATCCATAATCGATCGATGCATGAGCACACGTCCTCAGAAGTGGTCTGTGATACGAAGGGGCGGTTTGTGATACGTATCACAGGCCCGTAACTCCTTTTAGAGATCACGTCAAAGAATTGGACCAACGCAGATTGGATACTCATGGGGCACGCTTGGATCTTGCCCGGATGCTGCCTTTAAGTAGATCTAAAACTATTACTGATGTGCCAATTCTTCAACGAGAAATTGAAGAAGCTGCATTCAATTCTCGAACCAATATTGTACAGGGTGTCCCAAAAGTATGTATCGAACGTTTGATCGTTAATAACTCTCTTCCCAAGAAGTCTTTTGCCTTGCTTTAGGTACCGTTTTGTAGAGCTGGCTTCAACTTAGATTTGCACTATAGAACGAATCATTCATCTCTCTTCATTACTGTAGGATTACGGTAGAAACTTGAAACATATGGTGTTAATGTGAAAAAAGCTGCCGTTTCAAAATTTTTCAAAAAATCGTGAAAACTTGTGTAATAGGGTTTTTATGGACGCTGAGTTCAATAATTAACTATTCACAAGATTACGAAGCTTTCTAAACGGTGCAATCCCACTTTTTAAAAACATTGAAAAAATGGCCGCTACTTCCTACCTGGCATAACTCTTCAATGAAGCATCATAATAAGTTGGGAACTTTACAGTTATAATCAGCAACTCTAATTAGCCTAGTGTAAAAGTTTTAAGGCTGTTTTGTTTCCTTTCTGGGGCAAAATATGGCCTTTCATTGCTTAAAACCCTCCTTGAAGTTTCTACCGTAATCCTACAGTAATGAAGAGAAATGAGTGATTCGTTCTATACTGCAAATCTAAGCTGAAGCCAGCTCTACAAAACGGTACCTAAAGCAAGGCAAAAGACTTCTTGGGAAGAGAGTTATTAACGATCAAACGTTCGATACATACTTTTGGGACACCCTGTATATCAATATGACAGCAGTGTAGAAGCTAGCATTGCCAGACCCGACTACAATTTGTATGTGCCACATAACCGGCATCAATACACAACACAGGTTAAATCTACATGAGTCTAGCGTGGATTTAAAACAGAAAATAGCCGGCTGATCGCTAGCGTGATAAGTACGGGGTGCGGCAAAAGTCTGGGAGCCTAGTACTTTTTCGTACAAAACGAGAAGGGAAGTACCTAGAAACGAAAAATTTGGCGCACACATAATTCGAACTATTGCAGATACAGCCCAGTTCTTGAATTGCAAAACTGCCTCTTTTGGCTTCCACGTAGCCCTACAAAATCTTGGCAAGTCCACCTGTCATCGCACGCAGGTAGTCGTCATGATATTCGCCCTGCGTCTTCACAATAACTGCTTTTAACCTTGGCAAATCTGCAACACGATAGAGAAGGCTTTTATCTACAACATGCTTCCAAAAGAATTTTTCGCATTGCTTAGGAATAAAAATATTGGATTTTTGATTAAAAGCATGTGTACGTCGTATACAGAAATCTTGGCTACAATTGCGCGAATAAAAACACAAAATTATCGTTTAAAAAGTACAAAAGTGCACCCATCGCAGAATTTCAACAGATTCTAATTTAGAAGACGCATGCAAAAAATACAGCCTCGATCCCAGTGCCTGTTGAGCATTCTATAGCTTTTAAATTTGTTTCGAAGATGGATTACCACTGGCACGTAGGTAACATTCGCATACTTTTATTTTCCGTTCATGCAAGAACAGCTCCTGGCGAAAGCAAAACTAGGATACAATAGCGCAAAGCCTCTTCTATGTTGTGTGCATCAAAGTTTTGTGAAATATCAACAGCATTTCTAGCTACAGCAAAAACTGTAATTACTAAAAATTCTGGTTTTTTCGCTTTGTAAAAGTACTAGTTTGGTAATTTCCATTCTTACAAAAACATATGGCAGCCATTTCCAGCCATATAAAGTGTGTTCTGTAGAGAATGACAGCAGCATCACGTGGCATAAATTTGCAATCAAAACCATCAGTATCTTTGTAATTGCAGCACTGCAAATTTAGGCTCCCAGACTTTTGCCGCACCCTGTAATTATGGTATTAAGCTATCTGCTTACTTTATGATGTAGCCAATATCAGCGCCGCTCCAAGGTTTTTAGCTCTTCAAAATTTCGAAAAATTGTCCAATTTCCCAAAATTCCCCCTCCCGTTTTCCATATTTTAGGATGAGGTCGTTGATGATTCGAATAGTATATACGCAGCAGTATCCATTACCGAATGTTCAGCTATTACAATTTCTGTTCCGGAAAGAAAACACAATCAGTGCATTTCGCAAATCCAAGATCTCCTCGATTAGTTTGTCCGGCATTTGAATGTCATCTATGAAAGCTTTATTGTTTACTGTCAGATTCTGCCATCTCGTAACTTGTTTTTTTTTGCTTCGAAGTAAAAAACTTACCGCATAATCGGGCATAAACCCATTCCAAAGAGGGTGGACGTCGGATATAAGAAACATGGGATGCCTGTTCGAACGTTCATACTCGCCGATTCCTTTTAGCCCAAAAATAGAAACAGTTGCACTGGTTATCATACGAGTGAAAAGTATTCAGAATGAAATGGACCAAAAAATTGTAGTTTTCCACATAAACAGAAGATGAGGAGGGGAGTATATAGCGTTTGTATATGCTAAAGGCACTATACCACCAACTTACCTTCCAGCATTATGGAAAATGCTAAGCAGATACACTTTCGAATCACACCCCAGTTGCTTACGGCAAAAATGGTTTAGATTTGGTCAAGTAATCGGATTTGGCCACCTTGAAACAGCATAATATTATGAGTAACAAAAAACAGACTGAGCTGATGGAACTGACTTGGAACTTCTCCTTTTGACATCAGCTTCATCTTCCCTACCCTTCGGTCGGAAGAATATTGCAGGCACAGGCAGCAAAGAGGCGATTGTAAGTACATATCTAGTACAAGTACACGGAGACATAGATTTATTCATTCTAGCACATCTGCGCACGTAATAGATCTCTCTGACTACCAGATGAACTCAACAGACCGACCGAGGACGGAAAAATAACATAAACGTTTAGTGAAAAGTGATATAGTAGTAGGAACGCGAGATTAAACATACCTCTTCACTGCAGCCCATTCCCTTCGAAACAACCAGCATTTTTGATAAGGTGGGATCTAATGGAAATCGACCATTGTCTTTTCCAAATCAGTGAGACTGAAACTCGAAGAGATTTTGAGAATGAAGCATATTCTAACCAATAATGAAAGAAGGAAAGCATACCGTCCAGTCTTATCAAGTGCTCCTAAAGTCCAGAGCGGTACATGGAATTTAGCATGTTATCTTCGGTGGTGCGTCCATAAAGTGGAATTTGAGAAGATCATCAACATCGAGAGATTCCAGCAGCAAAACTTCATTTGAGAGATTCGTACGCTTGATTTCAGGGGCTGTTGAGACCTAAATCATCCATATTCGTTCATCTTTCGATCCGCCCAAATATGATAGCTAACCAGGTTCGACACAGTAAAGACTCACAATCATTTCCTCTTTGAACTGCCGTTCTGTGTACAAAACGGAGGCACTGACCAGGTTCCGTAAGACCCGCACCACCCGACCTCTGGTTAGCAGAGGCTTGCGAAACGAAGAAAATCTGAATTTACAGAAATAAGGGGAAACTCTTCTATCTACGGAAAATTAGTATGTAACCGGAGTCATCCATACCAATCATCGGATTGTACACTTTCATTCTGCAGAAACCTGCGTCTATGACGAACAAAACATCTACGGTCAAAGAGGTCTCAGCGATATTGGTGGCAACTATGCATTTTCACATTTCTCCTGGTGTATCGCTGCTTGGAAGCGCGATCTCTTGTTTATTACAGTAACCAATGTCTCTTCTTATCTTGTAAGCTGATCTTTGCAGAGAGCGCCGACGACGGCTATCAACAACAAGTATAAAATGCAACCGTCACGCCGCGGCAAAGATTCTTCGTCGTCACGATGGGATTCGTCTTTTTCCCATCAATCTCACCTTTGCTCATATTCATTCACGTCTTTCGCCCGCACGCAATCTTGAACGCGTAATTTTGAACATTTGACTCGCTTTTGTAGTATTTACCGCCTAGGTAAAATCGCATGAACACCAGATTGTGATTGATTGATTGATCGGAACATTGTATAATGTGTTTACTTGCAAAGTAAAGAGTCACGGTTTAATTACCCAAGTTTGAGGTCTCGTCCTCGTGGCAACTATACTACTGACTTACCTGTAGATCACTAGCAACTGAGAGTATACGGGAAACACGGCAAGCGGAGCTTCATCCAGCTCACTTAGTCGAGTTCTCATAAGCTCGCAAGTAACCTAAATCTGATAATTCAATATTCATGTAGGTAGATGTTGCAAAAAAATCGCCTCAATTCTTCTTGAACGGTCATGAAAATCCAAATTCTCCTTCCATTCCGCCAAGATGAACAGTGATCGCTTGCTTGACAGCAGCATCAACGTAGTCTTCCACCCCAAACAAGCATCAATGCGAACAGTCCTTAATTATTGGCTAGATCCTCAAGTTCATACTGGTGCCCTTGCATGAAAGATTTCGACCAGGAAGGTACGTACAAGGATGGTAAAAGTGGGACAAATGCCCCCAAAAAATTTTGCAAATTTATCTGCATCTACTGTAGCAGAAGTAACTATCAGGCGCAAATCGGTTCTATATGCCACAACTTCGCGAAGGAGACCAAACAGTACATCACTATTCAGAGACTTATAACGAGCATATGTATATATATATAAAGAAAATGATATGAGGAAAACGCAAAATGACATTCAAAAAAAACAAGGAAAAGAACTCGTCTATGATGATTGTCCTATATTGGTCCAGATCAGCATCGCCCAAGCATTCTCTGAGGAGATTACTGTCTGTCATGTATTTAATAACGGTCTTTTCCATGTGCAGTCCTCTAATCAAATTGCGTATCCAACTTCTTGTCCAAGCTAGAATGATCTGAGCAAATTTGTTAGGAAAAGTCCAAGTATGACTTGCTTACCTCCACTGTCATCAGCAACAAGCTTCGCCACACTCATAGCAGCGACTCGAGGGGGTTGTGTACATCCAATGATGCCTGTGTAACAGACATTTGATGTAAGGACAAAAATAAAGTGAAATAACTTTTCCACTGTTTCCGAATCCGAACTCAACAAACAGATGCAATAATCACAAATGAGGAAAAAATTTTATCATCGAATAGGAATAACGGAGATAAGACTAACAACACAAAGAACTAACGGAGATTTGACTAACAACACAAACTGATGAAAACAATAATAAAGGACTCAGAACTTTCTCAGCATTGAAGAGTTTTCCTTTTTTGCAAATAACAAGAGGTTAAAATAACAATGCATTTTTACAAAAAACGCAAATACTAATTCTAAATACCCCGCAATGCTCGAAACCGCACTGTGCAGCGCAATCGCTGGGATATCGCTAGTTTTTTTTTCGAAATCGCGGCGATTACTGCTGTAGAACTATGTCATAGCAAAAACCGGACAGCGATCGGTCGCGCTGAAAAATTATCACAACCGGATGCAAATTGATATCACTAGCACAAGTGATCATCCCCCTTCGTCTTAATGCTAAGGTCAAAATGAAAAGGTCGAACTAGCAAACGCTCCTGAAAGGTGTAGCACCACGTTATATGATAAACAAATCTTTCGATTTTCTAAAATTGGCAGGTAGTAATGATCTAAGTCAACACAATTTCTGCGTGCCATTTCTTGCGTATGCGAAGGTCCTTTTAGGGGACCAGCTCGTTCCTTAGTGAGCGTACATGCAGTACTTTTCAAGAAATTTGCTTTCATTCACACAAGTTTTCCACAATTTTTCATAGTATATTGTCATTGGCCTATGTTCGCTTACTCGTCAGCTTGATACCTTTTCGATACATGTGCATTGCAAACGAACGTTTCCCTACTCCACAAAACGTGAAATTCTCAGAGGAAAAAGCATATGGCATCAAATTCGATTGTCAACGACAGCTCTGCCCAAGCGCTGTCAGACTACAGTCCGGCCCATCTCACACGAGAGAGACGTTGACTGCATGTAAACTGGTATACGCAGTTTGTGACAAGGTTACCAGCGGTGCACAACACTGGTCAGCTTTTCCAGGGAATGGTCGAATTGGGCTCTCGCGGCTGAAAGCACCACAGGATCCTACCATAGAGGAGTATCGCGTAAGCGTGCTGGCTCCCAAAACCAAGTAGTATGACCCAAACCCGATCTCCCTGCCAATTTTTGTGGAGACTCGAAAGAGTCAACAGTTTCGTACTTGTTCTGTGCCTACTTCGTGAACAAGTGGAATGCTGTTTACGACTGTTTGTCTGGGTGTCTGCTGCAATTCTCACTGTCGCGAACTTCATAGTGCGGTCAGCAAAGCTATAGTTTGGTATTAGCATCTTAACAAAGTTCAGAATGCAGAATTCCGAACCAATCCAATGCGTGAACCTACGAAAACGGCATGTCAAACTGATACACATCTTAAGCTCGCAAAACTATGATTGTATCTGGATATCTTGCGAGTTCGTGGATTTGTTTGAGTTGTAGACATCGATTTTAGTTCGAATAATAACCTAACAGTAGGTTTTCTTGGGAGATAGCGCCAAAAATTGTTGGCGAAGTAACCATTTGATTTTTTAGCTTCCATCTGATGAAATGGATTTTCGCTCAATGGATACAGCTCATGACGGTCATGGTTCCTTATGTCGCTTATCAAGCCAGGAAGATTTAGCAACTATCAGATTCGCTTCATTCTTTCCCAGAAAAACATCATCTTTTCGGAGTTACCGATCTTACATGGACAAACTTCAAGAATTGGTAGTTGTTTCACAATTCATTTGCGATTGTTAGCATTAGGCCCCGGGCAGACTTCACGCGATTTGATCGTCGCGACTGAATCGCGACGAGACAACTGCTACAACATCATTCCATGTCGATCAACTTGCATTCGGTTGTGATACTTTTCCAGCCCGAAATTTTGAAAGTGAAATGAAAATGAATGGAAATCTTGGCGATTTGGTCGCGACGATTAAGTCGCGTGAAGTCTGACCGGGGCCTTACGCGGTGAGTCTAAAACCATGAAAACGCGAACACGAGAAAGGCATATAGTTAGTGAAACTGTTGCGAGCCCCTGTGAGAAGTGATAAACTGGTACACATAATATACTAGCTGTCTTTTCCAGTATAGTTCTGGCCATTGTTCAATGGGGAGAGGTAGATGCTGTTTTGATCCCCATAATACTGGAGCGAGACTCCCTCTTTCTTTTTTTATGGACGGCTTACCTTGGGACATCCCTACCTTGTTCACCGCATCTTCGGGATTCTGATATCAAAATGGGCTTCATTGACCCATTTAATGATCATGGAAAAATGCGGTTCGAACATGATGAGACTTTCATTTTTATAGGAATACGTAAACAAATCAATAAATCAATACAATGGCCTAACGAGTCGCCATAAAATCTAGCGCTAAACAACCTTTGGTGTCGAAGACATACGTGTGCAAAGCTCCAGCTCAGTCGGTTTTAGCGGGCTTTCTACAACGAACGAACAACCAAACAAACACACTTACAATGCGTTTAAAGGGGCCAGCGACGCGTACTGCACTCACACACCTTATCCTATGCTGCAGCGTGCAGGAACCATGCCCGTTAAGCGGAGTGGTCCTTGTCTTAGCTTCTTAGCTACTCTTTCTGCTTCTTTCTTAGCCTATTCGGCCCTGCTTCCAAATTTCTGAGCTTTTTCTGTCTGGTATCTACTGCGGTGCTCCCTGAGAGTATCACCGCGCGAATGGAAGACGAAATGGAGATCCAGAAGAAGTAATCCGAAACATTTTTTTGAGAATTCTAAGAACGGCTGGCTTTTCCTCCTTACAACTACAGGTGAATATGTGAGGTGTGATCGCATATCGTACAGCGTGAGAAAACAGTTCAAGTCGTCGTTTTTGAGTTCAAACCTGAACGATATACGAGTATATGCTGAAACACGAATCGATAGATGAATCATGACATCTGGAAGAGCCATCCGAAAAAGGCTTAAAAGTTGTCATGAAGGAAAATGCTTAACGATTTGATACCTTCTTCTTTTGAAAAGCAAGAAAATGGCAATCCGCTGCTGTAAAAAGCAAGAAAATGGCAATCCACTGCTGTAAAAAGCAAGAAAATGGCAATCCGCTGTTGTAAAAACGGAAAATTACGAGATACAATGATTAAAAAAGGCGCAATGTTGGCACAGCGCAGGAGAGCTTTGTATGATTCCGCAGCGTGCGCATGCAGTAAGTTAATACCAAATGTGTAGGCCTAGCGAGGATTTTGACAATATGCCGCTTGCTAAGATTAGCCACTTCGACTTCAAGCCACTTCCTTCCTGTAAATTTTGGTGAAACCGATACTTACGTGCGTCATGAAGATCTGGACCTATAAGAGATTGCTGTGCTGATCTTTTTGGTCTAGCCCCTCAACTTACCTGCAGTTTCCACCGTTACCTGCAGCAGTAGAAATGAATGAGAATTTCCACTACTGCAACTATTCTAAAGATTACCAAAAACAGCCATCACTTTTCGTAGTTGATGGGAGCTCAAAAAGCGTTCACTCTTGAGAGCTTGTCTCTAAACTATCGAAGTTGTCCCGCAATATTTTCGAATCCTGCAGTGCAAGAACTACATCTCTCATCATTGAGAATTGCCATAGGAATAATCTACGCAAACTTAGGCCTTGGGCATACTTTTCGGGACGCTATTTGGCAAAAAATCCAATTATTTATAACTCATCGTGAGCGGAATCTATTAGGTCGTGTAATAAGTTCTGTCCCATTTTTTAGATTTTTCTCGACATTCTTAACTATATTTTAGGTAAAGTTTATATGCTTTTGAAAGTTACAAGTCTGCTCTGCTTGATCATACGCATCACTCCCCAACTTAGCGGAAAATTGAAAAACATTTTTATCATCGAAACAAGAAATCCAAAGAGCCGAAAAGTCAATTTTCGACACCTTTTCTCCTCCAAATTTTTCTCGCTTTTTATTGATAAAACTTATGAAACAAACTTAACAACATGAAAGACAATCTATTAGATTTTTGCCTTTATTCTGTCACTTTGCGCATGTTCCCTTCCTTCCATTGACATTTAATGACATTTTCCCAAAAGTCGGCAAAGCGAGATTTTGTCACGGCGATGTTCGCCGTCTTGCGTACCCAAGCTGTGTGGCTCCCAAAATTCGAATTTCAAGTATTTAGCCTATGAATTCAATGATTTCAAAATCAAAAACCATCCCTTCTGTCTTTTCTAGATGATCCGCCTACCGTCCTATCTCAAAATGCCTCCAGATGATGCCCAACGTCAACGTTGAAAAGGCGTTAGAAAAAAGATTTTTTCTAAAGTTGAATTTCGAAAAGTTTCAGTACTCCTGAAACGCTGTAGAAGCTATATCATCCTTTGCTTACGTGTAGCAAATTTTTCGAGCTTATTCGAAAGCATTCTGACTAATTTGGAGGGCGACGTAACGTAGTTGTCGAAAATGGATTTTTTCGATGTTTGATTCCAAATTTGACACTGTAAACCATTTTCAAGTCATCTGGTGTAAAAAACCAAAATGAAAATTTCAGTAGAGAAGGCTTAGAGTTTTCAAATGCATATAAACAATTTGCAGAATATAGCGCAAGATATTTAGAAAAAATCAAGAGAAAAAATGGGACAGGACTTTTTACACAACCGAATAAATGTACAAAATGTAGGCATTCCATCAAGCTACGAAAGTTATACACACTGAGTTTGGAAGTGTTGCATTTGAAGAGAGATCTGGTAAATTACAAGATCGCCTCACTACAGAAGGTTTGCCCGAAGCCTTATCAGGATGCTATTTTAGCCGAAGTGGCTATTCAACAGGACATATATATTGCTGTAAGGCTGTATTGCTCGTGATGAATGCTAATTTCAAAACTGCAATCTTAACTTGCGGAACGCCTTTTAGAAATTCACAAATTTAATTCCGTTAAACTGCACGGTACAAAAACGCTACAGTACTTGCTATCATGA